TAAACTATTATGACAATTTTTATTTTTTATTTTTTATTTATATTGCTCATATTATTAGTTGGTAAAGAATACCATTACACATTTTACTTTGTTATTTCATTAAACATTTTTTTTATTTTTTAATTAATTTAAATACAAATAAAGTCATTTAATAATTTCGTGTCTCCTCCAACAATTATATGTTGTAACCATTGCATATAAATTCTCCTCCCACACAGTTAAAAATGGAGGGATTCAAGATGGAGTATTATTGAATGAAAGAGAGAATAAGTCAAATAATACTAAGCGCGATTTTAACAATTACTATTAAAATAAAATAAAATAAAAAAGATTTTAACAATTTCTATATATATATATATATATATATATATATATATATAATTCTGGAAGGTTCTCGCCTACATTGAATTTGACAAGTTTGAACTAAATTGTTCTCTCTCTCCCACGCACGCACAACACGTACAAATACGAGCCGACATGATCGGAAAATTCAGCACCGACTATTTGAGAACAAAATCTATCTAAGCCAACCCAATTAACTGTTATAGCTCGACTTATCAACCCGTTTCAATCGGTCTTAATTTAAGGATCCGTTTGATTAGCAAGAAACAGTAAGAAAGAAAAAAAAAGAGAAAATTTTAAATTTTTTAGTAGTTTGGTTAGATAGAAGTCAAAAATTTTGGGGAAAGTAAATTTTCTACATCTGAAAATTTTTCGAAAAATTTTTCGAGTGTAAAACACACGAAAATCTACTTTCTCGCAAAAGTTGTGCACCTTATTTCTTACTTTTCCTATTATGCCCATATATATGTTGTTTAAACTAAATAGACTTCGTTGAAAAGAAAATGCATATATGTTGTCTAAACAAAATAGACTTCATTGAAAAGAAAAAGTTTCCTTATTTTGTAAATTACTTAATTTGTCTATTACTAATTTAATTGTTTGTAATTTTATGTGTCTCTCTAAAATTAATTTAATTTTTCCTTTCATTATTAAATTATTATTTTTCATTATTTTTAGATAATGGCTGGAATTGTTCAATTTTTCGCAGTTGGTAATACTATTATCTCATAAACCATGTCATCTCAAGACAACATACAATAATAATACATACATATATGTATATATTAGCTAGAGTTCTACTGTATTCCACTCATTGAGATACATCCAATGACTCAAGATTTTGTTAAAAATAGAACAGAGTTGGCATAATTTCTTCGTAGTAATAATAATCAATATTTTTTCATATACACAAGTTAAATTAGTCAATTATATTGGTACTTACTCAACTTTTAAAGTGTAAAAATTCGTAGGTTCTAGTTCTTGTAAAAAAATACAAAAAAATATGATATCACATATTATTATTATTTCATATTTCACTATTTGGTTACTAAAATAAATAATTAAGTATAAAGAATATTAGTCTAACTCAAATTTTTTTATTTTATTACTATTTATAATTATAAAGTATTTTTGGTAAGTAGAATCATTTTCTTTTCCTTTTCATAATATACAAACTAATAAAATAACATTTTCTTACAACTTTCTTCAAAAAATTTCTTGCTAACCAAATGAACGATAGAAACTTGATTTTTCTTTCTTTCACTTTCACTTTCCATTAAATTTTTCATTAAAAAATCTACAAAATTCCGATTTCAATGTGATAGTAAATTAATTAAATTTTTCATTAAAAAATCTACAAAATTCCGATTTCAATGTGATAGTAAATTAATGGTTCTTTCAAGTGTCCCATGTCATATTAAATACAATAAGTTTCTTTAGACAAAAGTACCCTTTCAGCCATTTCCTTCTATGTATTCTTTACATTTTTCTCTTCGTATGATTAATTAATCTCCTTCTTTATTGTCTTCATCTTTATGTTAATTCTTTTTATATTTTTCTTTGAAATTATGCTATTTATAAAATATTTTTCTCACTAAAAGACTCGTCGCCAGTGAATGCGATTTTTTTATCCTAATCTATTATCTTGATATCAAATATGATTTCCACCAAAAAAAAAAAAAAAAACACACATAAAAGAAAAGAGAAAAGATTTTAGATTTGCAATGGAGACAACGCGGATAGCCTCTTTTTCAACTCCAACGTTTCGATAGGGTGGAAGATGGCTATTAAATAGTCATGAACTTATCTAAATTTTTATTTTATTTTGTTTTTTTGGGTTTGAAATGTTGTAAGAGGGAGAAGTGATACATATACGAAGAATATTACAATCATAGGAAAGACTATACACATCATGACGATGACAGTGATAAAGAAACTTCATTGGAGCAACATCTTATATACATCATATATCTTAAGCGTTTTGAGGGTATTTTTGTCCTAAAAATATTAAGTTTTCAATTTGCTATAAAAACTAAACTAATATATAGCCACATCATAAGTCAGTTCTAAACTCGATAAAATCTATTGTTGAAATAGCACTACTCTAATTTAAATAATTATATTTTAATTCCCTTCTTTGAATCTTATTTTCAAAATTCATGACCTCTTGCATGTTTTTTATTTGTCTTGTCCACTCATCAAAATTAACTTTTCTTTTTATAGGTAAATTTAGTTCCATAGTGGTCCTTGGACTGCCATTTCTTTAATTTTTTATTAGTTCAACAACCTAGCTAAGTTTCTTGTGAAATTTGGTTCATCATTATACACATATGTAATTGCCACGCACAAATGTTGAAAGTTAAATTCCTTCTGCCTAATTGGTAGAACGTTCAGTTTCTCAAACAGATGTGTTTGCGTTCGAATCCCCTGGGTCTCGATTATTGACGCAAATTTATGCTGTTAGAATGCAATTGCTTTTTCTTTTCTAAGCATTGATTTGTTTGTCAAATGTTACAAGGTTTGATTGAGATGTACTAGTAACAGTTGTGACTTAAGTCACATAATTATTTTAACCGAGTATTGCTCTTATGCTCTGTGTCGCCTTTCACTTTTTATGTTTCGCGTGCGCTCTTGCTCCTAATCACACTCTATGTGGCTTAATTTTTGCTACAATCGAATTTGCATTCTCGCTCCCACTCTCGCATTCGTTTCGCACCCTTGACTTAGATTGTGACTCCTCATGCATAGAAAGACAAATTTTATTTATTCATTTATTAAATAAGGTAAATTGTTACCAACGGACCAATAATCTAACGGTATCAGTTTCTTACTTTTCAAAAAAAAATCAGAGAGTAAATTACTCACATATTTTGTTCACACCGGACTTGAACCTCTCCCCTCGTGTTTGAGGATGAGAAATATTATTCTTAAACAAAGAACAATTTTATTTAATGTACTAGATTGAAATATATTTGAATTCCACTTCCACGGGTAGTCTCTTTAAGGAATTCGAATCCCCTCTTCCCGTTTTGTGGAGAGGATCACGTGCCATTGCTACTGAGACGCATTATATCATAACAAATGGATAAAAAACGTATGTTATTGCATAAGTGATATAAGAAAGAGAAAAACCTGAGTTACTTATTCAAAGTGCACATTGGAATTCATTAAATATTCATAAATTTAATAAAGGAAAAATGCTAGCGTAGCTGAAAATTTATCGAAGTGAATAAATTTAATAAAGGTAAGTGGAAGATAGCTGAAGAATTAATAAATTTATTTACTTTGAGAGTATTGTACTTCTTCCATTTATGTCATAACTCTTAATTATTACTAGTAAAATTTTACGTCAACGACTCCACCCAGGCCGGCATTCAATTTAACACGTTTGAAACCAAATTACGAGCTCTCTCACACTCAACTCACATGCTGAGCACAAAATAATAAAGCTTAATTTCAGGCGCTCTAGTGATGCAGTCGTGGAATTTAGTATTTCATGAAGTATTTAAATTTTAACTTTGAATTTTTCGAATGTGATTAATTCTTTTGCACGAATACTGATATTAGTCAAGACAAAGCCCTGCGAAAAATTACAAATTTCGTGTAAAATTACCCTCCACATGGCAAATACCAGCAAACACGCATATATGATCGGAAAATTCAGCACTTAAGTCTTAAATTTCGGTCATTATATATTCTACTCTTTGAATCTTTGTTTCAAAATTCATCACGTCCTCATGTGTTTTGATTTGTCTTGTCTACTCGTCAAAATTAAATTTTATTTGATAAAATTGAATTTGTTCATACCCCTAACATCACATCATCCTATATCCCAGGTGGCCAGAAGTTGGTAACTCGAAGGCTAGTCTACACAAACTACTTTTCCATCACCTTTTGTGTCCGTGTAAGTGATAAATTTTAGTTTCATACGAAACATATGCGAGAATGCTAATCCAAGTAAACAAATCTCAGCACCTTACTTTTTCTTTTTCCTTTTCGTTTTCGTTTTCCTTTTTTTTTTTTATTATTATTTTTTATTCTATTGTAACGAAGAATTAACTCATTATTTAGCCACCTTAAATTCTCAAAAGATTCAAAATGGTATTCAGCACCTTAAACTCTGCTTAGCAATATTTTTACTTTTTATTATATATAAATAAAATTTAACGAACCCATTTAATTAAAGCACAAATTTAATTCACTGCATAAATTCAAAGTATACATAATAGATATTGGGTGCACCTCAAGTATTATGCAGGACTTAAGTCACATAAAGCAATAATGGAAGCAGGAGCGAGAGTGAATTCGAGTAACAAAATTAAGTCATAAGCAGTGATAAGAGCGAAAACGTAATTAAGTCATAAGCAGTGATAATTTGAGCGAAAGCGTGCGTAAAATGTCAGAATAAGAGCGTGAGAGTAATGCCTATTGAGAAAGATTGTGACTAAGTGCGTGACAAATTCAAATTGTAAGTTTTGTTCACGCGCAAGCACATGGGTTTGACGAACCTGGTGCACGATGTTTGGACACAGGCATCCACTACCTTTTCCTGTGTCACACACCCAACACATGTTAGAAAATGATATACGGTTCATTACACAATATATTAAACTAGAGGAAATCCCAAGGCTTCATCGCCATTGATTTATGTAAAAAGAATTCATCCAAACCTAACATACGTACATTCTATCCAAAGCTAAGCAATATTATGTCGTCTTCATCTTCTTCGTCCTCTCCAACCAACCACCGTCCATGTCCATCTTTTCTCGATGACTCAGAACTTCCACTAAGAGAAATCCCCGGCAACTATGGCTTACCGTTCTTGGGTCCTATAAGAGACCGTCTCGACTACTACTATAACCAAGGCCAAGACGAGTTCCTCCGCACTCGCATGCAAAAATACCAATCCACCATTTTCAGAACCAACATGCCACCCGGTCCTTTCATGGCCTCCAATCCCAAAGTCGTCGCCGTCCTCGACGCACTCAGCTTCCCCGTCCTCTTCGACACCTCCAAAGTCGAAAAACGGAACGTCCTCGACGGCACCTACATGCCCTCCACCTCCCTCACCGGCGGCTACCGCGTCTGCGCCTTCCTCGACCCCTCCGAGCCCAACCACACCACTCTCAAATCCTTCTTCCTGTCTTTCCTAGCGGCCAAGCACCAAAAATTCATCCCAACGTTCCGAACCGCCATGTCAGACCTCTTCACCAGCCTCGAGGACGAACTCTCCGATAATGGCAAAGCAGACTTCAATACCCTCAGTGACAACATGTCATTTAACTTTGTGCTAAACTTGTTGTTTGATTCTAACATCTCTAATTCTAACATTTCCGAAGCCAAAATCCGAGAAAACGGATCAAAACTCATGACCAAGTGGTTGTTTTTTCAGTTAGCTCCTCTGATGACACTAGGGTTGAAGTATGTTCCGAACTTTCTAGAAGATCTTCTGCTACACACATGTCCATTGCCACCTTTTCTCGTAAAATCCGACTACCGGAAGCTTTACCAGGCGTTCTACACGTCGGCGAGTTCGGTTTTGGACGAGGCTGAGAGGCGTGGGATGAAGCGTGATGAAGCTTGCCATAACCTAGTGTTTCTTGCGGGGTTCAATGCTTATGGTGGCATGAAGGTTCTGTTTCCGGCTTTGATCAAGTGGGTGGGATCAGCAGGAGAAAGTTTGCACCGGCGGTTAGCCGATGAAATCAGGGCCGTCGTTAAGTCCGAAGGCGGGGTCACACTATCAGCATTAGACAAGATGAGTTTGACAAAGTCAGTTGTGTATGAAGCATTGAGGATTGAGCCTCCGGTTCCGTTCCAGTACGGTAAGGCCAAGGAGAATATGGTGGTCCGCAGCCATGATGCCAAGTTTGTGGTCAAGAAAGGTGAGATGATCTTTGGATATCAGCCGTTCGCTACCAAGGATCCTAGGGTTTTTGAAAAACCAGAGGAGTTTGTGGGGGATAGGTTTGTTGGTGACGGAGAGAAATTGCTGAAGTATGTGTACTGGTCAAACGGACGTGAGTCTGATGATCCAACGGCTGAGAACAAACAGTGTCCGGCGAAAGATCTGGTGGTGCTCATGTCCAGGGTAATGTTGACGGAGTTTTTCCTCCGGTATGATACGTTCACGGTTGAGGTCGGAAAGCTCTTGTTGGGTTCATCTGTGACAATCAAGTCATTGACCAAAGCCACATGATGATCATGATCATGATCATGATCAACTTGACTCTACCTTTATGTTTTTGAAATCAAGTCGTTAACCAAAGTCACATGAATGCATTTACGATCATAATAAACTATATTTGTTCAGGCTCAAGTTGTTTGCAACTAGGTTGATGATGAATATTTCAGCTTTCTTGGTCGTGTTGTATATCTGTTAGAGGTGATAGGGAGTGTAGATTTGTCCTAGTCTTTTAATTATTTGTATTTGCATTATGAAGAAATGTTTAATGCATTTCAACTTCGTATTTGAGCTTGAATTCTTATTGTATGATTGTATTATACACGAGTCACCATTATTTAATTTGTTGATTTGAATGTTTGACAGTTCTCTAATATTTCTTTAGGGGTGGGGATGAAAAAATTAATATATATTTATATATATAATAAAAGGAAAATAATAACATAAATGAATTAAAAAAGCAAAATGCGAAGTTGAAGTGCCTCTCTCGTCCATGGGTCACCATATCAATTTGTGATTTATATCAATCAATTTATACAAATTTTATTTAGCGATCAATACTGTAATGACTACTACGAACCAGGACTCTCATCCCCTTCAAATTGTGACCGTGAAACCATGTTTGGATCCCACTTGCAATTTGAGGGGCTTTGATTGGCCGAAAGAGAAGAAATGAAATAAAAATGTGGATCAGCCGGATTTTGTTTAGTTATTTAAAGTCAAGAAGATGGATGATATATTATTTTTTTCCTGATAATATATCATTTCACTCTCATACCTTAAATAATTAATTAATTATATATATATTAATACACAAAATGAGTAATAATATACAAAAATAAAATGGGGGACGAAAGGAGATGAATCAAGTATCTGACGAAATTTACATGTCACTCACACACATATATGCATATGCACTCATATACAGTATATATTTTTCAAGGCAATGTAAGGTTTTTTATTTTTTATTTTTTTATTTTTTTTGGGGCAAAAGATAAAACTAATATTAGGGATTACTCATGTCTCAAATACGAATTCCCAATACAACCACTCATACAACACAATAATTGCTACATGCCACATGTATGAATGGTTGAGTTTGTTTTGAGCAGTGTGTACTGAAGGCAAAGTCATGTCAAAAAACCTATGGTGGTTCAAAAAATGGTTAAACCAACTCAGAACCTAGCTAGCTTTTGGTTCCTGCATAGTAATGCTATTATATCTAAAAATGGAAATTCTGAGCACTACATGGTTGATATGCTTTTCTCAAGTAGCCATGTGATGGTGGGCCCATAAAATGCCTTTATTGGTACAACAAAGGGAATACCAAATCAAAATTATTAGGGGTTCTTAAGTTTTTGATCAATCAGAGAAGTTTTGGGGACCTAAAGATACTAAATGATTGCTCTTGGTTCTGGAGAAAACAGATAGCTTGCTCAACCTCTCATCAAGAACAAAATCAACAATGGTTTATTTTGACAATTGGCTACCCTGTGGCCCAATTATATCAGGTATTTTTTCCTAACCCTACTCGTAGACAAGCCTGGTTAATCAACAAACATATTAGGGTCATTAAAGAAAAACAGAGTTCTAATCTGGAAGCTGACATTGACAAGCTATGTGTAGCACATATAATTTCCTTTTCTAACTGTAGATGATGAGAAAGAAATGTGGATAAATAAATTTACCCCAAAAAAAATGTGGAAAAATAAATACAATTGTTCAATCCACGTGGTTGATTGACTATTGCCAATATTACAAGACATTTACTTATGAAATTAACAAGATCTAGATATGATATCTTTTACTTAATTTTGTCAATATTGCAAAGATGGATTTATGCATTGTTTTTTCTGTTTTTTTAATTTATTTTTTGGTACCCGCAAATAAAGGTGAGAGAGAAGAAGAAGAAGACGACAACAATAACAACTAAAAAAAAAATTGTTTTCATATATTATAAGAGAGAGAATCACCAAAACTAACATGTTGTTAGAAATGGTTTTAAAAATTATGTATAACATGTGAGATGTCATGTAATCAACAAAAATGACAAAAGGATAATTCATGAGACGAACCTTGATTCAAATGGAATTAACCAAAGATGATGATGATGATAAAATAACCAACAATCATTTTGTCTTTATAGAGATTTTACACTCAATTTGTCACTTCTAAAAATGGATTACAAGCCTTGATAATTATTGATGCTTATATATGCATTCATAAATTTAGGTCATAATCTAAATTTGGATGCTTATTTCACAATCTCATTTGATTTGTAGCGAAGAAGCTGCAAAACTTCTTATGGGAAGAAAAATATAATAAAATCAAAATTTACCCCTTTTCTTAGTTTTCTACATTGAAAGAAGCAAATTTTTTTTTTCCCTGGTTTAATTGTAAAATTATAGCAACTTTGGTCGTCTTTATTTGGCAATAATTCCCCTTGGGCAAGTTTTTTTAAAATAAATTCAGTATATACATGCTTACACATATGTCATTATGTAAATTTAATTCATTATTTTTTTTTATAATCAATATTATTGTCAGGTCTAAATAAATATTGAAATAACAATAATTATTCTACTTGTAACCAAAAAAACAAACAAGGTTGATTCAATTCCATACTGCAAAAATCGTGAACACAGAAGTGCCCTCACAAAAAAATATCACCACAAAAACTATTCAACCTTACTTCACATGATTCTCAACATCAATGCACTACAAAAAGTTATTCAACCTTCTCTCTCCCTCAGTCAAATTGATACATGCCTACCGACAAATGTTATCTTTATCTCATTACAGACTGACTGTGTACGGGTTTAAAGCAATTAGTGAAATCACACAGACACGGCAGAAAAACAAAACAATTACCTATACAGGTCCACCTCAAAAAAGAGATACATCTGGAGGAGGGCCATAAACAGTCTTCCATGAAAATGGAACAATCCATTTGCCACCTTCATTGCCTGAACAAACCCATTATAATATAATAAAATAATAGTTAATCAAACTCTTAAACCATTTATAATCTTTGCTAAACTACATAGCTACTGATGTGAAATCAATAAATCAAACCAGCTTTTGATTGGAACTAGTTTGTTTTTTTGGGGACCCAAAATCAACACATTAAGTCAAAGCAACACATGAAAGGTCTTTTTGTAGTTTTCAATTGTTTGCACATTTAACATTCTCCAAGAAAAATAATAACATGTCATTGAGGCCATCTATTTATAATAAAAAATAAAAATCTCACTTTCTTTGCAGATATCAAAGTACTATTATAATTCCATATTTATATAAAATTATAAATTGTCCCTAATTAGGTTCAATAGGACCTTATGAATAGGTGCTTGCCAACATTGTAATTTGCAACTCTTTTTTTTTTTTCCCCCATCAATCGATCTTGATCATAAGCTCCAGCCCAGGCTGAAGAATGAGATGGAGTTTGAGGTAAAGCAAGACCTTGAGCTTGACTTGCTAAATCAAATGTGCAAAACGAGCTAATCTCGAGCTTGGTAAGAGTCACCAACCCTTGCCAAGCTCCAGCACCCATTTCTAGGCGCAACTCAAGCTCGAACTGAGCTTGAACAAACTCCAGTTTGATCAAGGCGAGTTCGAGCAGCCAAATTCTCAGCCTGGCTTGATTTTTTTGCAAGCCCAACTCTGATTCTAATGCAGCAGTTCACAAGTTTGTAAGCATACGATTTTAAGTCAAGATAAAAGCTAAACTTTGAAATAACAAAACTCACCATGAAAGTTATTAGGACTTAGTTTCAAAAGTTTGCATGCTGCCTCAGCCAGTTGGAAAGCATCGGCTGTATTGTCCCCTTCTGAACAGTAACATAATAAGCAAGTGACGCTCAATCCTTTGGCCTAATCCAATAAACCAAAAGCCACTAGTAAGACAACTTGAACTTAAATCAGAAAACTATAGCATAACAACAATATATAAGCTCTAAAACAACCCAATACTTAAAGATACAGAAGAAATTAGAACTTCAATTATTCAGGATGATATAACAGTACTACTCTTTCCAACAGAACTGCTATTGTTATAGTAAAACATTGTTAATCCAAGCTGCATCCAACATCTCTCAGCCACAGTATACTTCGTAGAAATAATACACACACACACGGGTGGAAGCTACAGTTGTAGTAGCAGTACAACTTTAAAATCACCATGAACTAAGGATGATCAACTTGGCATTCCTTGAAAATCAAGACACATGGAGCAGTACGACTTTAAAATCACACACAGACGTATGGTGACCGTTCGATATATATAACAATCATATTGTAAACCTACTCTCCTCCTTTCCTAATACAATAAAACCACTTTTCTCCTTATTTTAAGTTTCCTAAACTAACATTGCCAATTTCTTCTACACAAGGCATACTCTAAAATAAGAATTTACCAAAAAAAAAAAAAACATGGGAATTAAAATATTAAAGGAACAAAAAAGTTTTTTCCTAGTATTAATCAATATTTTTTATTGGAATTTCTTGTTAGGATTTAGCTTTTCCTAGTATTAATCACTACAAACAAGTCCATGCTTTTCATATTTGTGCACGGGCAAATTAAGCATCTTTCATTTGTCTTCATGTCTTGGTTTGATAAAAGGTAAAAGGATGTCATATAGAGTTGCAAATTGTTAAAAATAGAAAATAAAAAACTTTAACAATTGTATATGAACTTACTGTGAACATCATACCCTTACGTGAACTTCTTGGCTACACTCCTTATTACTGGAGTATTGCTTCGAATATCAAAATGGCGTATTGATTAGCAAGAGATCATTTTCCCTACTTTAGTTCCCATGTTTTTTTTGTTGTAAGTACCTTTTTACAGTAGGTCTTGTGTAGAAGAAATTGGTAATGTAAGAGAAAAAAGTGGTTTTGTTGTGTTAGGAAATGAGAAAAGTGGGTTTGCAATATATCTAATAGTGATCATACTTGGTGTGGAGAAAGTTTCTTGCTTGCCGGTGAGCAAGAGATAAATTTCATATATATGTATTCTTTTATTTGTCATGTAAATATTAAAAAGTCTTTTTGATTTTTTTTTTTATTTTAAAAACAGTAAATAAATTAAAGAGGGGGATTTGCTCCCTCTTCTGGACTTCTCTTTTTGATTTTTTTTATATTTTTTTTTAATAAAAAAAAGACAGTAGAAAAGTTAAAGAGGGGGATTTGCTCCCTCTTCTGGACTTCTGATGCATGTATGCTGAACCTGAGATGAAGATTGTCATTTAGGGTATTAAACATTAGATAGGTACCCTTCTTCTGAACAAGTCAAAATGATTGTCCACACATGTCCAAGCCAAGTCGCCACAACACGTTTCTCTCCTATTGAGGGGCTGTGTCAAATGAATCATAGGTCTAAAGGAAACTCATAAATGTTGAAAACACTGAAGCATTAACTACTAACAAACATTATATAAAGAGTCCATCACAAAGCACCCAGGCAGCATAAAATGAATGCTGTAAAGTAGAAGGGTCACTCTTATGTAGATAAGGGCACATAGATGAACTGTTTATGCATGTTTGAAGGCAGTAAATTCTGAAGACTCACCTTGAGACAAGAAAACATTGAAGCAAAAGGCAAACTTGGGTAGTAATCTTCTTCTCCTAGTTCATCTTCAGAAGGCAAATTCTCATCCTGCTTGGCATTACCCTCAGCTAAGGTGCTAAGATACTGCCACCCCCTCTGAGCAGGGTTATATTCCTGCAGTCTCTTCCATCCAAGTCTTTCACAGTTGTCATCAGTTCCTTCCATATTGGCACTGGAAAGATAATATATCTGCAAACCACTGAAAGAAATCACCAGATAATTAATCAATGTGGTAAGCTGGCTCAGTCAACTCCAAAAAGGCAACAAGGTTCAAAAGCTAATGATCCTATCAGCCATACCATAATTATTTGTCAAAGCTGATTTCACCTAAATTTAGTTCCTTTTCTGAAGAATGCATTTCATTGAATAATTTCTATATATCAAGTTCTATGCCGATCTTGTGTGATTGTGTCAGTAACCAACTTGGAACAAAGTAGTCAATACTTTGGCTGATATCATTACTCGTGCTAACCTTGGTGTGGAATATATGCGTGAATGCAGGGTTACTGCTATCAAGGGGTAGTTTGCAGAATCCTCTAATCAAGAGATACAAGGAGAGGACTTTAAAAATCTAGTTTGAAGAAGAAGAAGAAAAAAAAAATGAATATAGAAAAGGAAGGGTTACTGCAAGTTAACCGAAAGAGAAACAAAATAATTAGTGTTTGAGAGCGAGAAAGAGAGATGGAGGGAGGAGTAAAAAAAAAAAAAAAAACCTATGAAGTTACATAAAATGATGCAGAAAATAACAGCTTAGGTGACATATGCAGTATGCTACATCAAGAAATATCTTTCCTTCCATGATTTTTCATTTTTTCTTTTTGCCTAACAAAACTAAAGTCATTAGCATCAAGGGTCTAGATAACAACAAAGCATCTCCAATAACCTAGGTGGGTGCTTGAAAACCAAGTCTATATCTTGCCTAAGGAGCAAAGAGAAAAAAGAAAAGAAAAGAATCCAACAAGATATTGCCTGCCTTGAAAAGGTTTAAGAACAGGTCACCTAAAGGCAACTAGTAAATTTAATAATGCTGCACCAAATAGATATATTTGAAAATTAGAACAGTTACTGATCAAAGAAAAAATTGTTGTTTTCAGTACCTTGACATATCGATTGTCTGCCACCGACCAAAATCTAACCCAGACAGCAACACAACGTGCTTCTTTCCACTAACAGCAGCAAAGTCAGCCACATTCTTGGCAAATTCAACCATCATCCCCTGTTTCAAAAATTAAAGATGCTACTGCTTGAGCAAAGAAAAAAGAAAAAAAAAAACGGAAATGTAACACGTCAAAAAGAAGAAGAAGAAGAAGAAGAAGAATACCCATGTTGCCCTATCTATGCCGCCTGGTACACATCTAGAATGACTAGAAAGAATAATCATCATCTAGAATGACTGAATGACTAGAAAGCACAATCATATAGTGAAACAATATCTGAGGTCACATGCGTGCATGTATCTATACATGGTATTTATTTGAGGTAGTTTTTAAGCCATTATTATGTTACTAATATATGTTAGGCAGACTTGTCAAGAGCAAGTCTCTCAGCTTCACCGATCACATAACTGGATACACGGAATTGGGATCTCTGTCACATGCAAATCTTTCTATCAAAGGCCTCGTTTATTTAAAGTGTTTGGCATATCAACGAAAAAGAAGTTGCACATGTCGAGTCGGGTATACCACGAAGTTACAAAAAAGAATTCATTATTTATGTTCTTACAAATTCTCATTATATATATATATATATATATATATATATATATATATATTGACTTTAATAAAAAAATTAGTTCTATATATTGCCTTTAAGAAGAAAATTAGTTCATTTCAATTAACAAACTCTCATGTATCATGTATGCACAAATAGATATTTGAACTCTTCTTACATATGATTTACAAACACGGACACTAATTACTCAAATCAAAACAGTAATACACGGACGTGGCAATAGCACGGCAACAACAACAAAAAAAAAAAAAAAAAAAAAAAAAAAAAAAAACCAAATTTTACATAGATAATTGTACTAGATATAACAAACATTACTTCATAACAATTAACATGAACTTTAACAGATTAACGCAGTAATTGATAATCACCATCATCTCATAGAATAAAACACGGCAAGGACACGAATCGTCTAAGTGCGTTTGCGAGCATACATTGTTCTATATACATATGTAAATGCCTAATTATGATGACCTTTTTCCTCCTATACCCCCATTCCTTTTAAAAGAGCCTACCTGTACCTCACACTAGTTTTCAATGTAATCCAACTTTTTGAATTAATTTACCATAAACCTATCACTTTGATTTTCCTTACTATTGTCGTATCTTTCTATACTAAAAGAAAGTTGTACTGAAGATGTAGATAAACTAATTTATGAATTTCATTTTTAATACGGAGACATATATGAAGTATTATACATGTGTTCAGGCACGCCCAATAAGTACCAACGCCCGACGTGTCCCACACAGACAGGGCTTCATCATAGAAGCATCCACACTTATAAACCTCCTAAGGGTAAATGCTTCCCAGCCTTGAATTTATTTTCACTCCTTAAGATCCTTCTTGAGTTTTAACTCAAGAAACTATCCTAAAAAATTTAATTAACCACAACTATTTCACGTCGAAAGAATGATATTGCGATTGCAATGAACAATGACCACATCATTCATTATCCAGCACAAACATCACGAAGAGCATCAAATGACAGCCAAAAGAATATTTAATTAATAGAGGCTTGGTGGAAAGCTTTGTTCTAATTCTTTTCAAATCCCTTATATTAGCTGTGAAGTCATAGTAATATATTGACAAGGTAACATTAATTTGTAATTAATTTTTGACAAAATTAAATTTACCTTCTAACATTTTTTCTTAGTGAGTGGTCACTCATTAAAAGCAAACTCCAATGTACACCTGTGCACTAAGAGAGATTGACAAAGGCAGCCTACCGCTGCATAGATTAAAGAGAAATTGATAAAAGTTAAAACCATATGTAACTAATGGTGTTTTATATCCTAACTTTCTAATGACCACCACTCACCCAAGCAATACTGACCACTGCCTAATAAGTTATAGCATTGTTCACACTTTTGTTCAAGTCTCGCCAATGTAGGGAGTGCTATGAGGGTAGACTAAGTACAGGCTTAACATTGGACATTGTTTGAACAAAGTAATTGTCCTCAGATGGTGTCACACTCACCACTCACATTTTGTCAAATTTAAATTATATTAACAAGAGCCAATGCATTTATGCTCATGCTTATGTTTTACCTTCACAACCGGAGATCGTTGTTGCACAAGAGTCAATGCATTAGAAGGCGAATCATAAGCTGCAAAATAAGTAAAAATATTACACCATGCTTTCAAAGACACACTCGCAACCAACCAAAAGTAGTAAGGTATACAAGAAAATAATTGAAATTAGCTAACCCATCGAAAAGATAACATTCAAATTGAAATGTGTGCATAACTATAAACAATGTATAACAGAAGCAATAAGGACCAACTCAATAACAGAAATCAACTGAGAACAGCAAGGAACAAATAGAAGATTCATCCAATTGCTACAATTGCTATAATATACACACAAACATATGAGAAATGGGATTGAAAGAGACCTTCAAGAGGGAGAACAAGGTGGCCTAGTGGAGTAGGGCAATAAGCATCATTGCCAACACAAGGAAGAACATTTGGGTCATCCAAGAAACCAATTCTCTCCGCTCTCGTCGACGATATGAGTAGATCCACCGCCAGTTGCCCCACATTCCCAATCGACAACGCTGGCTAAATCCCAGGAAACAAACAGAAAAAATTAATATAAAAAATAAGTAAAAATTTTATTAAACCCTAACTGTTACTTGAATCTCATGCTCTTATGGATGTTTAGAAAAATGTTAATCAAACGCAAAAATATTAAACCCTAGAATTCATTGAAAATGAACTGAACTGACCAGGATCAGACTGGAGCATTCGCCGTAGGGATGTTTGCCTTCTTCGACGATAAACTCCATTTTGCATATAGAAACAATAACAAAAGGTCTAACGATAAAGAGATTATATATATATATACTGTACACACCCGCAAAATCAAGATTCTGTGAAGTTCTTGGAGAACAAGATTGCTTTGCAGTTCCTTTTTTCTTTCAGACAGCATTTGTTGCAGTTTGGGCCTTACCTATCTCGAATCATGATGCTTTGAGTTGGGGCAGGCCCTTTGTGCTCAAGTTCAGCTAAAATTGCGGGCCATTAAAGCCCAAACTCATAGAATTTGTAGATAAGTATACGCTGCTCACAAATTTGACTCGCCCTTTTGTAGCGGCAGAAGCAAAGACTCGGAGATAGTTATACATATTTGGGCCCCACACAACCGATCAAAATGGAGTAGTATGAGTGATATTCAGTGCGTTTTATTAGTATATTGCCCAATCAAATAAGGAGTATAACATATTAGTTTGGGTCAAGCGCAAAAAACAACGCTCATAATATGTTTACAATGTATATTACACCCTGTGTAAAAAATATTCCTAAATTATGACAGTTGTGTAAATAGGTTCACTTTATAAAAATTGAACTAAATTATCCTTAAAAACACATTTAATAATGTATATAAAAAATTAATATTTTGTGAAATTACTAAAAAGGGTAGCTAAAAAAACCATATTCCCTCCTTTTTCTTCTTCTTCCCCGGCCACAAGCTCTCTGTGGTGACCTCTCCGGCAGCCTCTTCTCGGCCATCCGCAACCTCCACCTATCCCTCTGCGACCTCGGCATCAATAAGATCGTGTCTACACCACGGTTCGGAGCTGTGTTGTTGCTCAAGTTTGGAGCTTCGAGACCCAATTTGTCACCGGAGCTGCTAACTGGGCACATTGGGCGAGAGTTTGTTTGGACGTCTTCGACCCATTTCTGCGAAACCAGAATCTATCTTTCTAAAGCTTTGAACATAAGCTTCCATTTTTTCCAGTGAAGCTCCAAGTACCGAAACCCATGCTATCTGAACTCTTACTTAGCTCTCTGTCCAACTGAATCTATCAATGGAATTGCAAACCACTCCTTTTCCCTAAATTGAAAACTAGTATTGATTTTCTCTTTAACTACTATTTTGTACAGTATTTAAAATGAGCTGATTTTTTATTGGGCATAAAGGAAGAAAATAGAAAATGCTCACAAACATAGTAATTTGTAGTTTATAGTGAATCCCAATATACAGTGAAGTGGAAGTGACTTGTTTGAAACTTGAAAGCATACCTCTCAGAAAAAAAAAGGAAGAAGAAAAGAAAAGAGGTTTATAGATTGAGGTTTCTCTATCTTCTCTGAAGTTTTCTAGGTTGGCTTTTAATGTGAGTAATACCGAAACCCAGTTGCGAGCTCCTAGTGTCGGCGAAACCAAACTCAGTTCGTGGTTAAGGCTTTTAAGCCTTACTGACCAGTTCATGCCCGCGAAACCAGGTGTGTGTGAAATCGTTAAACAGCCCGGCGAAAGCACCATAGTCTCGCGGCAAATTAATTTTACAGAGATCCACTCCTGACTCCCCCTTCTCTCTCTCTACACCTCTTTCTCTCTCTAGAACCCCTCTGTCCTTCTATAACCAGATTCATTACACATACCCGTCTGGTGCAACATTAGTTATATACTTAACATTGTTTCAATTTGTCTCCATGTTTAGCTCCTAGGTATTAGAGAATATAAATTTTCTCATATGTAAATATATACCACACAAACACACATACACACACACATATATATGTTTTGTAATGCAATAGCTTAGCAGAGGAGAAAGAGGGAGAGATGAGGAAGGTTATGTGTTTTTGGGGTCTAATTGTTACTGGGTTTGTGTTAATTAGCAAATGGGTTTATGGGTTTGAGCATGAGTATTTGAATATAACAGAGCAACCATTTTTGGAGTCCTTTTATGGAGTCTCTGTTGTAAACCACAACCCTCTCATGGTGGGTCTTACCCTTATTCTAGGAGATGCGTTGATACTCTCTCTCTCTCTCAAATTCTCTCTCTCTCTCTTTTCATACATTGTTGCTTGATCTACAAGTGCAATGTATTGATTCAATCTGTTTTGTTATATTGTCTAAAAATAATTAATTTAATTATCTGATTCATTTAATTTTGTTCTACTGCATGCTATTTCTAATTTAAGGCTTTTAAGCCTTACTAACCATTAGTGGTTTGAGAGACTTAGATGTCTTTCCTTTGCACACACACACAAAGAAGAAGAAGGAAGAAGAAGTAAGGTTTGACAGGGGCACTTTTTGAAGAGTAAAATGGGTATTATATTAATTGAGGGGTGTTTTTGTACAAATTGAAAAGAATATGGGTATTTTTTGCACACCTTTTTAAATAAGGGGTAAAAGTGCTACGAAATGTATACTTTAGGGGTGTTTCTTGCACTTACACCTATTAGTTTTTTTATCAACAATTTTATAAGTAGGTGGACTAATTTTTTTTAAATGATACATTATGATTGGGTGAGTCCTTTAGCATGTAGAGTCCCTTTGGCTCGGCTTGCCTTTTCGGCCAACTTATCATTACTCTTAAAATAATAGTGAAATTTAAGTGGGTAGAAAAATACTTTAATCCTCTTGATATATTAATGACATGGTATTATTAACAGATTAAATATTGACACGTAGTGATAGGGGGTGACAATTCGTGTTCGTGGGTTATAATCGTGTGGTGTCGATGTAAGGTATTCTACTAAATAGATAAATCCAAACTCAACTCATTTAATAATCGTGTCAAGAACCTCAATACTAACCTGTTTATTGTTAATCAGTTTAATGACCTATTTATCAAAATGAGATATTTAATATTTAATCAAATAATAAATATTAGAAAAAATTTGTCACAATTAACCCAAATATTCAAAATAAAAAGAAAAATCATAAGGCGTAGTTAAGGTTTATGTTAAAACGACTTAAGGTACTGTCCATAGTAATTTGGTTTAAACAGGTAATATATTACATAGGTCATTATGATATGTTGAGTTAAACGGATATAAATAGGTTACACGTGTTGAACTTCCTTAACCCTAACCCAACACAGTTAAGTAAACGAGTTAATCGTGTCAACACCTGAACCCGTTTAAGGACAATCTAAACCCGCTTATCTCGTATCGTGTTCGAGTCGTGTTGGTAAATCGTATTAAAATTTATCATCTTAGGTGACGTTGTGATAAGATCTACTAAAATAAATATAATTATACTTATGTAATAATGGCTGCCCTATGCACCCTTCTCACACTCAAGTATACGTAAACAAATTGGCATGCTGACACGAGACAAAGTGAAGGAGAGGTGAGAATTAGTCCCATGGACCTCAACTTTATTATTTAAAAAAAAAATAATACTTTTTCCTTTTCTTTTCTTTTTCTCTCGTAAATTAGGAGAACTCGGATACGAGTACATCTTCAAAGAGTCTACTAACTAAACCACTTGTTAATAGAGTTGTTATTCATGTTCCAAAATTAAAATTGAGACATTCCATTTCTATTTGTTCATATAAAAAGTGACAAATATAACCTTTAACTATCCCAATACACTTCCTCCTTTCCCACGGCTTTCTCAACTCACTCTCTCTTCTATGTACAAGAGAAAAGTAGCCTGAAAAAAAAAAAAAAAAAAAAAAAAAATGAAAGTGTTTTCAATGGTGATTTTGTATAAGAAAATTAATGTTGACCTTTCAATTTTTTAAATTTTTTTTTATTTGTAGTATCTATGATAATTGAAGGTGGTTTATTTGTGATCAAGGGAGGAACTAGTAATGGACTAATCTGGGTTATAGCCCAGGTCCAATTGAAAAAAAAAAATTAGTACTATTGTTCCTATAAGCCTGTGTACTACTCTTCCTCTTCCTATCAACCCAGCTCAATCCATAGTATTTTTATAAATAAAAAGAGTTATAAAATTTACAAAGGTCAAACCTTAAATATGAGCAAGCCCACGAATCATAGACATGCCCAATCACAAAATAAACCATAATAAAATATAATAGGGCCCAACTCAGTAAATCAAAACACATTGTTAGTTTATCGAAGAAGACCTAAACTCTTCGTGTATAAGGCACTAAGGCATAAGTAGATGGATATCATGGATTATTATTGTTAATACAGTGAAATACTGAATTTTATTTTTGTATATATATATATATATATATATAAAGGGCTTTGTTGATGACTTGATAATTTCTTGTTAAATTGGGTAATTTACTATATAATGGATTAATAACTAGTCAAGGGCGGAGCACATAGGTTTTACTTTCTAATGTGAATTTATTGATAAGGAACATATATATCTTGCATTCTTGTCGTTGTTTGTTTTAATACTTGTATGAAACAAACTTCAATAGATTCTTGACTGTATAAATACATTAGAGTTTGAAAGTGTAAATATATTAGAAAGTTGTAGATTATTGGGTTTAATTAAATAACTGATGCATGATAATTATGTATTTAGAGCATAGATGACACACTAAGCAATCATGGGTTTAATTATTTTTAGCCTTCCCTACTTTGCAATCCTGGTTCCGCCCCTGCTTGTGATCCTTTCGCAGATGCCTTGATAACCCAGTGGGTTAGTATTTTCGATGAATTTTGGAATACCAAACATCTACAAATCTAATTCCTAATACTTCTTGTCTTAAAATATAAAAAAAAAAAAATTGTGATCCTTTCAAAGTCTTTATTAATCTTACTTTTAAATTTTCAAATCTAATTAAAAAAAAAAGTGTTGCAATTCTTGCTACAACATATTATTACTATGTTTCAGATGCACACACACATATATAACCTACTTTTTATGATTTAAAGAGAGATGAAAAAGAGTGGTAGACAACTGATAACCTCATTTATGTTAAACAATATGAGTACTCTCTTTATTTTCTTGTATTACTTATGCTCTGTTCGATAGGAAAGAAAAAAAAAAATTGAATGAAAAGGAGAGAAGAAAAAATGGATGAGATATCCCTTAGGCTCCATTTAGTTAGATGGAAATAAGTAAGAAAATAAATTAAATAAAAATAAAAGGAAAGTGAAGTGAATGAAAAAAAAAATTTAATTTATAGCATGCATTTGGTTAATATGAAAATTTATTGAAGAAAATTGTAGAAAAATATTAGTTTGTTATTTTGGATAGAATGAAAGTAAAAAGAAAGTAATTGAACATACCAAAATTACCCTTATAATTCCAAATATTAAAAAATAAATAAATTTGTATTTGATAATATAATTATTTATATTTAAAATAAGACTTCATAATATTTTCTTAGGTAGAAGTAGAACTATTAGTTTAAGAGAAACAAAACTTAAAAAAAAATAAAATAAAAAATAAAATAATAATAATAATAATAATAATAATCATAATAATAATAATACAACGGGATGAAGAAACGGGTGGAAATACTAATTTTTAAGATAGCTTTGATTGAATGTTGTTATTGCCAATTATATATGAACTCGTGGGATAACAAAGAAAGAGTTGTTTTGTAGAGAACTTGCCTCTTTGAAACTTACTAAATAAATAAATAGAGTAATTGTTGTGCACGATTAAGTTAAGTTAATGGGTAAAATAGGAATGCCAAATTAAAAGGTACTCATTTCAGGTGAAAATATATTTTCCTATAAATAATTTCTCTTTCCTTTATTTTCTAGTTGATTCCACCTGACCAAACGAAGCCAAACCTAAGGACGAAATTGTGTGTTTCCATTTTTTTGTTTGGTTGGATAGAAGAGAAGATAATAACCTCATAATTTACTATATTTGTTAAGAGAGAATAAAAAAAAAAAAAAAAAAGTTTTAATTATTTTTACTATTATATCTAATAATATTTATTACTATATTGTAATATATAGATGATAATACTATAATTTAAAATTTGTATAATTTAGAATAGTATTTAATTTAAAATTTCTACAATAGTTCACTTGTCTTCCCTCCTTAATTTCTTCCGCCAATTTTGACAGATGAAAATTTGTAAAGAACCCATCCTTCCTATTATACTTTATTTCCCGTATCATATTTCCTATCTATTTTCTCTCCATACCTCTTCCTTCCTTCCTACTATGCTCCAAAAATGTACATTAATAATACACAAAAAAAAAAAAAATAAATAAATAAATAAATAATAATAATAATAATAATAATAATAATAATAATTTGTTACAACTATTTTCTTTTATTTTTAAAATTTATTTTTATAAAAGTCTAACTTCATTCGATCTCCGCTTTCAGTTGTTGGTTTCTATTTACAAAATAATTTTCCAATTCCATAACAAGACTTGCCCTACTAATTAGAAATTAAGTTGGGCCGACTGTGAAAGAATTGAAATTCACTACCTTAATGTGGGATGTGCTATTGTTTATACACATGTTGTTGAGAGATTTTCCTTTTTATCTTCATGATTATCTATCCAAACTCTCGTTAACATAGTAAACGTTATGAGACAAGTGTCTTTGACATATTTAGCATATTCATTTACCTTCTATAGCTTTCAATACCCATTTAATTTGGTAACAAATTAATCTCTAACCCTAATAAAAAAATAAAGTCTTCAAAATAGAGAATCCAACTTATACTAATATTCTGACTTGTTCATCCTAAACTGCTGGAACCCGCCCTCATGCATGCATATATCTATCTATATACATATATATAATAGACCTTCCCCTTCCCAGCCCTTTACAGCTCAAATCGATGTAAAACAATAACAAATCTCTGAAACCCATGCATGCCATGCATGCTTGATGTTTCATCTTTCTCTGTCTCTCAAAATCAGTCCACCAAGGACTCTCACTTTCCTCCTAGATCTTTTCCACATCATTGTTTTAATCCTCATTCGCATATCTTGCCGAATGTTGGACGACAGAACAACCACCACCCTCTTCCCGGAGAGGAATAGTCCTCTCCGGCATACCCTCCCGCCTTCCGCTCCCACTGCCTGCCAAGACGAGAACAGTTTCTTTTCTCCGGCGGAGAACTCTCCCGCCAACAACCCATCTCCAAAGAGTGTCTACGCCTCTCCCTATCTCATGTCGAATCAAACACCGCCACCGTATATCAATTCAACGGTTTTATCATGTGTCCGCACGCTTGTTCATGAAGAAGGTAACATATATTCGCTGGCCGTTTCCGGTGACATGTTATACACGGGTTTGGATTGCAAGAAGATTAGTGTATGGAAGGACATGAAAGAGTTTTGCACATTTAAAATGGGCAGCGGGTTAGTGAAAGCGATTGTCGTCTCCGGCGAGAAGATATTCACCGGCCACCAGGATGGTAAAGTTCGTGTATGGAAGATCCCTCAGAAAAATCACAAGCTGTGCAGGCGGATTGGGACTTTACCCACCACCAAGGACTTGATCAAGAGCTCGTTAAACCCAAAAAACTACGTCGAAAAACGACGAAACGGTAACGTTTCAAGAGTCAGGCATTACGAAACGGTGTCGTGCATGGGCTTGGATGAAGAACACGGTCTTCTATATACTGGTTCGTGGGACAAAACCTTGAAAATATGGAGGATTTCGGACTCGAAATGCTTGGAGACGGTGAATGGTCATGAGGACGCTGTTAATGGGGTGGTTGTGGGGTTCGGGGGCCTCGTGTTCACCGGCTCGGCCGATGGGACAGTGAAGGTGTGGCGGAGGGAATTGGGAGGGAAGTCATGTAAGCATGTGCTTGTGGAGGTGTTGATAAAGCAAGAGAATGCGATAACAGCGGTGGCGTCGGACGCGGCGGGGGCGACGATATACTGCGGGTCGTCGGACGGGCTGGTGAGATTGTGGGACCGTGAGAAGCGGTTGGCGTATGGTGGGGTGCTGCGCGGCCACAAGATGGCGGTGCTGTGCGTGGCTGTGGCGGCTGATGGTGGTTTGGTGGTGAGTGGGTCAGCGGACAAGGGTATATGCGTGTGGAGGAGGGGGGATTATGGGGTCCACACAAGGTTGGCTTTGCTGACGGGGCATTGTGGGCCCGTGAAGTGCTTGGCTGTTGAAAATGATCAGGAGTCAACGAATGGTGATCAACGGTGGGTGGTGTACAGTGGTAGTTTGGACAGGTCTGTGAAGATTTGGAGGGTGTCTGATCACGCCACTGATTTAAAGCGATTGAAGGAAGTTAGCGCGTGTGGTTGATTTTTGGCTTTTTTGCAAGTTCAACTTTGTAAACGCTTTAATTTTTTATTTATTTTTTTTTTTTCGTATTATTTTAAACAAATGGCAATGTGTGTGAATGGATGTATGTAAAAAAATTTGTTTGTCACTCAATAGTATCATTTTGTTAATTTACAAACTATAAATTAAGTAATGTGTTTTTTAATTTTTAACATTCAATGATAAGTAATATTTCTCTCAATTTACTATTTTCTATAACATTAAATTTGTGTTAGAGTGTTATCAAACACTCAATTTGATAAGCAATATATAAGCAAACATGCATAACACAATTGGTATTTATTATTATGTCCAACTATTTTTGTCATTTTGATATATACTAATGAAGTATTACCTTTGTCCCCTTTAAAAAAAACATTAGGATTGCCCCCTTCTTTTGGGTTTTCAAAACCCTTCAAAAAAAATTAGTATTGCCCCCTTCTTTTGGGTTTTGCAAAACCCTTAAAAAAAAAATTAGTATTGCCCCTTTCTTTTGGGTTTTGCAAGGTATTTTGCCAAACTGAAAGGAGATGACATTTAGGGTTTTCATAGGGTGACTGCATGAGTTATTCGTGAACATTTGAGCAAGGTAATGCGCAATATATATATATAGGTGCAAAAATTTGCGGATAACAAAATTTCTGCAATTACTAGACCCAAAATAATAATAGAAAAAAAACAAAAATAATATTGGAGAAAAAACGATGACAATAAATTAGAGAAATTGTATAAAGATGGGGTATTTTGATGATATGACTGAACCACCTAGATTGCCTAGGTATCCCACGTTGTAGAGCGTGTGGAAATCAGGTCGGAATGAAAATGAGAATAATATCTCATTTCTTTTTCGGGGCTCTGCCCTTTTTTCTGTGTGTATATTTTATTAAGGGTCTTAAGCCCTTTAAATATAGGAAAAACCCTAATCGAGTCCAAGAACTCGCATTCCTTGTCCCTTAAGAATCTCAATCACATTATATTATTCTTATAATAAAGATTTACATGATTTGGTTTCCTTAGATTGTAATCATTCTTCTAATAAAACTATTACTAAAAATGGGTTTAGTGATACAGTCATAATTGGGTTTGGGGTATCATTATCTCGGGCCTCATTATCTCGGGCCTTTTTAATGAGTTTAGTCGATTATGTTTAGTTAACTCGACCCAAACTTTTTGTGGAGACTTAAATTAAAAGTTGAATAGTCTTAGTATTTATGGTAGACCCAATTATGCATACTTTCTTAAACAGAAGACTTTGTTCGTATAGCTAACCAGCAATTTAAAGTGCTATGTGAAGAAATTGTATATAAATTAGTTTATTGCCTATTTAATTGAATGCACATAAATTTGTGGTGAAGATATGTGATTGAATTAATCTGTAACGACCCGCTCCACCACATGGTATGATATTGTCCACTTTGGGCCTGAGCCCTCACGGTTTTGCTCTTGGGCTTTACCCCAAAAGGCCTCATATCAATTGGAGGTGACACACTTACATATAAGAACTTCACCTTTCCTCTACCCAGGCGATGTGGGATTGTGCACCCGTAGCTCGCCAGTGTGGTAGCCTGATAGTATCTCTTGCACCCGCTCACGGCACACCGGCCCACAAGGTCATCACAATCCACCCCCCTTGGAGGCCCGACGTCCTCGTCGGCACACTTCCGGCTGGGTTAGGCTCTGATACCATTTGTAACGACCCGCTCCACCACATGGTATGATATTGTCCGCTTTGGGCCTGAGCCCTCACGGTTTTGCTCTTGGGCTTTACCCCAAAAGGCCTCATACCAATTGGAGGTGACACACTTACATATAAGAACTTCACCTTTCCTCTACCTAAGCGATGTGGGATTGTGCACCCGTAACTCGCCAGTGTGGTAGCCTGATAGTGTCTCTTGCACCCACTCACGACACATCCGCCCACAAGGTCATCACAATATTTGTAACGACCCACTCCACCACATGGTATGATATTGTCCGCTTTGGGCCTGAGCCCGCATGGTTTTGCTCTTGGATTTCACCCCAAAAGGCCTCATACCAATTGGAGATGACACACTTACATATAAGCACTTCACCTTTCCTCTACCCAGGCAATGTGGGACTGTGCACCCGCAGCTCGCCAGTGTAGTAGCCTGTCAGTATCTCTCGTACCCGCCCACGGCACACCCGCCCACAGAGTCATCACAATCCACCCCCCTTGGAGGCCCGACGTCCCCGTCGGCACACTTCCAGCTGGGTCAGGCTCTGATACTCTTTGTAACGACCCACTTCACCACATGGTATGATATTGCCCGCTTTGGGCCTGAGCCCGCATGGTTTTGCTCTTGGGTTTCACTCCAAAAGGCCTCATACCAATTGGAGATGACACATTTACATATAAGCACTTCACCTTTCCTCTACCCAGGCGATGTGGGACTGTGCACCCGCAGCTCGCCAGTGTAGTAGCTTGTCAGTATCTCTCGCACCCGCCCACGGCACACCCGCCCACAGGGTCATCACATAATCGGAGAAAGATATTTTTGTGCATTATAATTCGTTAATTCCACTATATTTTAAATCAATTAAAGTTAAGATTCAAAAGTCAAACACAAATATCTTCAAAAAGTCAAAGACAAACATTATGGGTCTGTACAGGGACTTCACTAAAGAAATTAATAAATGTGAACAGGATGGCAATTTGACCCGCCTCGTGATTACCCGCTTCGTTCCGTTCCATTTTATTTTTGATGATTTTGGAGACCGTTTTGCTTATATAGACGGGATGATTTCATGTAATAAAAACTTGCGCAGATTTGGTGCGGGGGCGGAGGGAGGCGCCTCGCCCCGCTCCGTCTCATTTAGATAAGTAAATTACTTAAATACCTTTATTTCAATAGTATATATATTTTTCACTATGTATTAGGTATCTTATATAACAATATTAAAATAACAAACGAATTTGATTAAAAGGAAAATTGCAATGGTGAAAAATTGAAGATGAGGGGGGAAAAAAAAGAGCAGATCTATTTCAACAATAAATAAATTATGGTCTTAAACGGGGGGGGGGGGGGGGGGGGGGGGGGACGGATACCCGCGGGGGTAAAAAAGTTAAACGGTTATGGAGATGGGGTGGAAAGTTTCCCCGTTTTTGCAGTTTTGAGTGAAAAAAAGGACGGAATTTTTAAACAATTGTGAGGGCGGGGAGGGTACCCCAGCCTAAACCCAACCCCCCCCCCCCCCCCCCGGCGTTGCCATCCCTAAATGTGAATGCATATATATATATATATATATATATATATATATATATATATATATTTTAAATTACCAACATTATTGGTTATAAGATATTGGCTACAGTTGAGAGGTCTTATCAATAATTTATATTACACATAGGTAAGAATCCATTACAGTATATAATTCTTCTCATTATACCCTTGGAAAATGATCATAAAATCATTGGAGGCTCTGCCTCTTTGCTTTGACGAACCGGATGTTAGTTGTTTTAAACATACCTATTCTAGGGCTTATAGAATATAAGGCCCTGCTTGGAATTGAACTCCCAAAACAGTTTCCTATTTTGGGAGTTGCACAAAACAGAAAACAGACTTTTTAATCCTGTTTGGGCCTATTTTGGGAAAACAGTTTTTATAGAATTGTGTTTTCATAGTGTTAGTTTTTAGAGAACTACTTAAGTTGTTTTCAGAATTTTTACTACTGTTTGAGAACTCAAAAAAAGACACGGAGAACACTGCTCCACTTAAAAAACCGACGTTACCCTCGCGTCGTTTATAACGCAGCATCCATCTTCTTTCTCTTCAACCTCTCTGCAACATTTTCTCTCTCTGCAACCTCTCTGCCTGATCTCGTTCATAACAGAAGCTCTGCAACGCATCCATCTTATCTCTCTTCAACCTCTCTGCAACCCATCTTCTCTCTCTTAAACCTCTCTGCAACGGCATCTTCTCTCTCTTCAACCTCTCTGCAACTAAGAGAAGGTAGATCTGGCTCTTGAAGATCGTTATTTACACAAAGAGAAGGGTGGATCTAGTTCTTCAAGTTCTCTTTCTTCAGGTAATCCTTCAATCTCTCTCTCTTAGTCTTTCTTTGCATTTGTATTGGTATTTTGTGCATTAAATTTCTAAAACCTTCTTTCAGTTTTTATCCATTATGTTAATTCAAATTCGTGATTATTGAGAAGCTTTTTTTAAAAAAAATTTATTTCTAATTTGTTTTGGGAAATATTGATGGATTTTGTTGGTTGTGTGAGTTTTGTTGTGGATTTCATTTTCAGTTTAGGGATTTGGGGTTTTCAGTTTAGGGATTTGGTTTTCAATTTAGAGATTTGATATGTGTATGTATTGAGGAGGCCCAGGATGACATGGGCCGGATATGACTTGCAAACACGACATCCGGTCCGTATAGTTGGGTCGGCCCATAAAAAGACACTGCCATATGGGCCGACCGCGAATAAGCCCATAAAAGGTGAACAGGACTTATGGAGGAAGAGGCCCAGATCTAGAGTCCATCAATATTTGTAAATATCTATAAATAGGAGAAGGAATGAAAAGGGGAGGGGAGATATTTTTTGTTGAAATGTAAGAATTCTAGAGAGAGAAAGAGAGTATGAATTTCTTGCATCTTCAATTGGCGCCGTCTGTGGGAATCGCATGGAAGTTTGGTTGATCAATGAGGAATATCGAGTGGATTCAGACCAATTCGGTTGATCGAGACTCGATCTTTGGGATTTGGATCCAGATCTGAGCGATTGTGACGTACTCTGGAGGAATTACAGTTCTTGAAACTTTGGCAGAAGTGGCTTCAGATCTACGCAACAACGAGTTGTTCGATTGTGGCAGGATCTGACGGATTTAGAGTTCAGACAATTCAGATCTCGTAAACGGTGAGCATAATTCGGAGAATTCGAAACCAGATCTAAAAAATTCCCACTCACGAAGCTCGGATCTACTCGCGAACTTGAGATTAATGCCTTTACTCCGTTCAGGAATAATGATAGGTGAAAGCTCCAATCCGATGGAGGCTGTCCAGCAAACAAAGCTTGAGGAGTTGATGAACTTGATTGAAGCTCTCAAAAAAGAGAATGCAGAATTGAAAGCTGGAATGCAACATCGGCAAATACCTGCGGTTTCGCATCCACTTCCGGTCGGTGAAGGAGGTGTTCAATCTAATATCGCGCGTCAAGGCGAGCAGGACAAGAACAATCAGTCAGCTCACCACCGTGATGAAAGGATGATGGACAATTTGCCGCCAAATGTTCGTCGAGTTGAGGATCACGAAGGATCGACTCACGTTGATCCGCGACATGAGCAGATTAGACGGAATAAAGCCATAACCTTCGATCCGCATCGGGAAAGGTTCGACCGAGAGGAAGTGATAGAGGTTGATCGCCGTCGAGTAGCGTCGCCTTGGCAAAGAGAGTTCATAGAGGAACGGTCGTTCGATCCGTCTTACCGGCCCTCCATGGCTACTATCACTCATCGCGGTTCGGAGGGCAGAACCGTAACTCACAGAGCTACCGCTGGACTCCAGAGAGAGAATGAAGCCCTCCGATCCGCAGCTCGAACGGTTGATTCACCATTCACCGACGAGATCTTGAATGCCCCGCATCCAAGGAAGTTTGCTATGCCAGTCTTTATTCTGTTTGACGGAACAACCGATCCGATCGATCATGTGTACCATATCCAGTTGAAAATGGCCCTGAATACGGAAAACGACTCTTTAATGTGCAAATGTTTCCCTACAAGCCTAGCTGGACCGGCGCTCAGCTGGTTCAAAAACTTGCCTAGGAGCTCCATTGGTAGCTTCAGAAACCTGTGCGATCGGTTCATAAGCCAGTACTATGGGAACAAGCGCCCGCCGAAGGACATCTCGAGCCTATTCACGATGAGGCAGCACAAAGATGAACGTCTCCAGGCTTTTCTCACCAGGTTTAATCTCACTAAGAGTATGGTGATCGAATGCCACCCTTCTACAGTAGTTCAAGCCTTCAAGTTAGCCATGACACGTGGAACTCCGTTTCACACCAGTCTGGTAGTGAACACGCCGACGACTATGGATGAACTCAATGAAAGAGCCGATGGCTTTGTGCGCCTAGAAGAAGAGGAGGCAGCTAATGCTCGGACAGCGTCGCTCGTGTCGACCGAGGAAAAGTCCAAGGCAAAGATCAGGCAGAAGCAGGCTCAGCCGCAACGTCAGACCTCTTGGAAGGCAGAAAAAAGGTCCAGGGAGGAAGAGCTGATTACTCCGCTGAAGGTCACTCTGGCGAGACTGTATCAGGAGAACAAAGATAAGTTTCATCCACCACTGCCAATTAGGCAACCCCTCGAACAGAGGGATCAGACTAAACATTGTGCTTTCTATTCCGATTTCGGTCATCAGACTAATGAGTGCAGGAAGCTGAGGAGGCAAGTGGAGATGTTGATAGCTAGAGGGGAGTTCGCGAGTTATGTTCAAGGCTCGGCGATAGAGCAGAATCGACCGGTGGAACAAATCAAAAGGAGTCATAAACAAAGCTCCCACAATTCACAACCAGTTCGTATAATCAATGCTATCCATGGTCGACCCGAGCCTAGTGAAGAGTCAGATGAGCTACTCCGGGCGCGCCTACGGCAGGCGCAGATGAAGAAAAGGGTCAGCAGTGTGAATACTCTACACCAGCAGAGCCCGTCGATGCAGATAAAGTTCGACTGGACAGACCTGCAGCGTGTTCAACTGCCCCATGAAGACCCGTTGGTAGTCAGTTTGACAGTGGCGGACTGCTTGGTGCGCAGAGTTCTGATCGATCCTGGGAGCAGTGCGAATGTCATGCCGAGGGACACATTTGATAGGCTCGAGATTAAACCAGAGAGGCTCAAGCCCACTGGAAATCCCTTGTTAGGGTTCGATGGCAAGAGGGTGGAGCTCGTCGGGATGGTGGAAGTAGAAGTTCAAGCTGCAGAACGAGCTCTTATGGAAACTTTTGTGGTTGTAGAAATTCACCCCTCGTATAATCTCCTGATGGGAAGAGGATGGATTCACAGAGTCCAAGGTGTACCCTTAACTCTGCATCAGGTCATGAGGTGCCTCGGACCCGATGGAGATAAAGTGATAGACATTCGGGGGGATCAGGTTGCAGCCAAAGAGTGTTATTCCGTCACACTAAAGTATGCTGGGAAAGGGAAGGCGTCCGTCCGTTCGGCAAGCCCCAGATAGCAATTACAGGAACCTCCGCCCGAGCAGAACAGGGTGGAGGAGTCAGTTGACTTGACTGAAGAGCCCCTTCTGGATGTGCAGATCGATCAGTCCAGGCCAGAACGAACTACCAGAGTAGGTATAAGACTGACCAGAGAAGAGCAGCAAGAGCTAGTGGATTTCTTGTCCCACAATGCCGACGTATTTGCATGGAGTCACCTAGACATGCCTGGAATTAATCCCTCCGTATCCTGTCATTCCCTGAATGTCAATCCCAATTTCAAACCAGTGAAACAGAAGCAGCGAAGATTTGCTCCAGAACGCAATCAAATCATAGCGTAAGAAGTCGATAGGCTGCTTGATGCGGGATTTATCAGAGAAGTGCACTACCCTGATTGGTTGTCCAACGTCGTTGTCGTGCAGAAGAAGAATGGGAAATGGCGAGTATGCATTGATTTCACCAATTTGAACAAAGCCTATCCGAAGGACAGCTTCCCGCTACCTAAGATTGATCAAATGGTGGATGCCACCACCGGGTATGAGCGTTTAACCTTTCTGGACGCTTATTCAGGTTATAATCAGATCCCTATGGACCCCGCAGATGAAGAAAAAACTTCTTTTGTAACCGAGCGAGGAACATACTGCTACAAAGTTATGCCTTTCGGACTAAAGAATGCGGGAGCAACTTATCAAAGACTTGTTAGCAAAATTTTTAAGAATCAAATGGGAAAGATTGTGGAAGCCTATATTGATGATATGGTGGTAAAGAGTAGGAAGAAGGATGATCATCTGAAGCATCTGCAAGATGTATTTGATGTACTGAAGCGATATGGGATGAGGCTCAATCCAACCAAGTGCTCGTTCGGTGTGAGTTCCGGTCAGTTTCTGGGACACGTGGTCAACCGCAGAGGCATCGAAGTTAGCCCCGCTCAAGCAGAGGCTTTGATTAAGAATGCCGAGCCAAAGACGATCAGAGAGGTGCAAGCCCTCACAGGACGAATAGCTGCATTAAGTCGATTCATTTCAAAATTGTCAGATCACTGCAAGCCGTTCTTTGACACGATTCGGAGCCATGGAAGGCAGGTCTGGGGGGATGAGCAACGACAAGCATTGACTCATTTGAAGGAATATATGCAGAATCCACCAGTCCTATCAGCCCCAGATCCGGAAGAAAAGTTATTTCTATATCTTGGAGTATCTGGTGTCGCGACAAGTACCGTTCTGATTCGTTGCAAGGAAGGGGTGCAATACCCGGTATTTTATGTAAGCAAAACAATGACAGAGGCAGAACAAAGATACTCAAAGGCCGAACGGGTGATACTTGCACTTGTAAATGCAAAAAGAAAGTTGAGGCATTATTTCGAATCCCACCCCATAGCTGTTCTAACAACTTTTCCAATCAGAACGCTTATGCACAAGCCAGAGCTCTCGGGCAGAATGACAAAGTGGGCCATAGAGTTGAGTTCATTTGACATAACGTATGGGCCGAGAACAGCTGTCAAAGGGCAAGCGGTGGCCGATTTCCTGCTAGAATGTGATTCCGAGGATACGGAAGAAAACCTTAGATGCGGCTCTTGGAAACTTTTTGTGGATGGCTCCTCTAACTAGATGGGGGCTGGAATTGGGATCAAACTGCAAACCCCAGAGGGTACTTCTTTGAGTCAAGCACTCAGACTTGAGTTCCGAGCCACCAATAATGAAGCGGAATACGAGGCGTTGCTAAATGGGTTAAAGTTGGCCAGAGAGCTACAGATCAAAAGTTTGACTGTGTATAGTGACTCGCAGTTGATTGTTCGGCAGGTAAATGGTGAATACGCGACCAAGGATGACACGATGGGGGCATATCGTTCTGCCGTTCTGCATAAAGCCAAGGACTTTGCAAA